TCTGACTGGTAGTATTATATAATTCATAAATGCCTTGGACCCCAGTCAATGACTTTGGCAATATTTCGAGTCGCTGGACTCGCGTAATTGCCAGCGCAATGAGCACGCCCAGCAGCGTCGTCCTGTCGTGTCCTTAAAACTTGCCCGCAAGCAGCCGGAGCTCATAAATAAATTTCTAGGCAAGCGAAAAAATGCCCGACCAGAAATCAAAGAAAATAAAGTAGAACAGCATTTGATATTTTATGGAGCTCAGCCCCTCCAGCCCACAAAAAAACAAGAAAAAAAGAAAGAGAGGCGTGAACGGTTTGTGCACATCATCCCAGTCACAGAAAAAGTCCTGTGAGTTATTTATGAAAGTCCTGGCCCCGCTACGCCAATGATCGTTAATCATAATCGACGCATAATATTTCGCCGGCAAGCGCCGGAAATCGGAACTAATTTATGTGGAAATGAGTTAATTTCCTTTGCCTGAATTGTGTGATTTTCTAGCGATTTCATCGCCACTGCCATGCCAAAAGTAATTACCAAGCACTTCTCAGCAATGCTCCCAGGGGGCTGCCAGTTCCGAGGAGTTCCCAAATTAGGCTCAACTTGATGCTGTCCTTGTTGTCCTCGTCGTGGTTGTGTGCCGGCAGTTTTCAAGCTAAATTAATTATGAAATTTGTGTGCAGGTAAGTGGCAAATAAGTTCAAGCCCGTATTGGCTTAAAGTTCGAGGAAAAATCAAACTTTTTCTACCTTTACTTGACGAAAGAATCTACCCTGCCAAAATAACAATTAGCCAGAGGATTATCCCGTCTGACCACATGAAATAAAAATACACAAATATTTGGGAAATATTTTCACAGAATATTTTATGGCAATAATCCGCTTAGCACTTTTTTGACAATATTTACTCTGTACAAAATATTTTTCTCTAAAATAAAACATCCGCCTTTTGTTTTAAAATCATTTGGGAATTGTTCGACCTTTGGACATCTACTTAAAATTAATATTTTAAAGCCCGATTAAAGCCACACAAAACAAGGACTTAATAAAAAAAATATGTATATATGATTTATTTATGAACAATAAAACAAAAATCATTCACCTTAAAAGCTTTTCAATAAAATCTGTAAATCAGATTACAAAGCAAACAATAGTTAGCATTTGTGAAATATAATAGCTTAATAAAACAATAATCAACACCTTGAAAAATCCCTTTGTTAGGCTTCGAGGAATTTTATCATAATAGACAAAAATATGAGAGAAAAATTTAATTCAAATATGAATGGACTTTTGAATTTCTTTTAAAAAGTTCTTTGAAAAATTTAATAAAAGCAGACTGTCTGTCTACTGACGTCTGACATCTCTGGACCCAAGGTGTCCGAGGCCAGAAGCTGTCAAAATAAAGTTTTACAATTCACACACAATTTTACCGCCAGCCGCCCCAGGACCACCCAGCAACACCACCAACCGGGTGGTGTGGCTAATTTGAGCGGTGTTTGTTTGACATTTCGAGTGGAAGAGCCGCAACATGAGGCAACACGCGTTGCTGTCAGTCCGGGGTCAGCCGAAAATGATGCCAAAGTACATGAAAAATGTATAAGCGGCATTACTGGCAGGGTGGATTTCGTCTAATGGAAATGTTATTGTCAATTGTAAAATAAAACCAAGGCCAGCTAGCCATGAAGCGGAAATAGAAACGGAGTGTAAGGTTCTCGATTCTGAGATCTCAGTTCCGAGAAAATCCTTTCTTGGATTTGTAATAAAAAAGTTTCCATAAACACCTGAGACAATCCTCCGCCTCCAATCCATTCGGCAAAATTCGATGGCCAATTCCGAATTGATTTTCTTAGGTCCTTGGCAGTCCTGCTTAACATTGACAGATTGTATGCCATTTTTTTGCGTTGTACTTGCAACAATATCAGTGGCAGAGGGCCGAGAAGGGGAAGAGGCAAAAAGTTTGCCGGTGAAAAGCAGCTGAAACAAGCAGCTGAAAAACTGCTGAAAAACTTTGACAACTTGCACCAAACTTTTACCAGCCGTGTGACATTAGGTGAGAGTTCCCAGAGTCCTTACGTCGCTCCAACTCATACCTCCTCTCCAAAAGGACTGGTATTCAACCCTTGGATATTTGGGCGGCAGCAGCTGAAGCCTTTGTTCGTTATAAATCACAAAGTAATCATAAATCGCTGCCTGCACATAAATTACAATAAGAAACAAATGACAAGTCGAAGTAGAGTGTTTTTTTTTTGTCTCCTGCTCTGCAGGACATTTTCGGCACAATTTGCCGAATGTCCTGCGGCGAGAAAATTGTCTTCGTTTTGCCCTTTTTAAGGCAAACATCAATTTGCGGCGGCCTCATGTGAAGTCCCGGGGCTCCCTAAGAGTAATTTTCCCAAAAAAGTAGCCAACATTTTTTATTATTATTGGTAACTATACAGGAATATCAAAAGTTAGTCTTTAAAATATTTAGAAAAGGATCATATTTAGGGAAATATGATAAATCTTCATTAAATTCCAGATGCTATACTAATTTAAAAGATGCTATTCCATCCCTCCTAATCCCCAGTTTAAAATAACACGAAACGAAACTTCAAATGGCCAAAGACACTTATTTTATTTTACATAAGCTGAACCACAGCCACACCCCATAATTTAGCCACTAGTCAACGCCTCGGGGCCGAAAAGATTTTGCTTCCTCCTTGAAGTTGCGAGTGGCACTTTTGCTTTGTAATTTATGCAGCCTAAATGAAAAGCGTTTTTCCAACAACATTTAATTAAGTTCGGGGGGTGTGGGCCAACAACGGTAGAAAATGTTCAAAGTTAAACATGAGAATTAAAATGCCAGGGCCGAAAGTGGAATGCCTTTTTTTTTGCATTTAGCAGGCCGATGTTCATTTAAATCGTTTTTGTATTTGAGGAGTTATTTAAAAAGCTCTCATTCAGAGAAATACACTTTCAGGCAGGCACTGGAAAAAATAATACATTTTCTTTAAATATTTTTACTTTTTTTAAGAATTTTTATTATTAGCCATAACTACCTAAAGCATTAGCTATAAAAAACTATATAAAGTACCCCTAGGATTATAATTATTAAAGAAGTCATCCTTTAAAACATTTCAGTGCACAAAACTATATTGGCATAGTGGAAAACCAATCAAAATACCTGCGTTCCGGTTGACCCCTGGGAATTTGCAAGTGGGGCCAATGACTAGCGCTGGGATCATCATCATCCTTATTATCATCATCACCAACAAAAGTGGCAGCGGCAGGAGCTAAAGCTGCGGCAGGAGCCGGGGTAGCGGCAAAAAATTGGGTCGTTGTTGGGTTTTAATGTGCCTCGGTTGCCACTTTTTCTGTTATCAGCAGCGTCAATGTTTGGTGATAACAGCTACAGGCAGAGGCTGTGGCTGTGCCAGTGGCAGTGGCAGAATCCAACAACAAAGAACAGCCTCCGCTGCGGCAGCGACGCGGCAGCTCAGTCAACTGAGATGGGCATCGACTAATGGCCGAAGCAGCGCTGTAATCCCGCTGTCCCTGGGTGTGTGAGTGAGTGTGTATGTGTGTTGGGTATGGCCGCTACGGGTGTAGTATGTGTGTAAGTAGGGCTAGAATATGTGGAGCAAGTTGCGCTTTGTCCGCTGCCTCCGTTTCGCGGCTTCGGCATCCACGACCGCAAGAATCCGCAAGGGCAGCATCGGAATTCGTCCTCGCTTCGGTTTTAGTCCTGGCAGCGCAGGCGCGTGTGAGAGAATCGCGAGAGCAGAGCGAGTTGGCGAGAAGCCGCCATTCTTGGAGAGCGAAAGGATGTTCCAGTTCCATGTTGTGATGCTGCTGTTGCGAATTCTGTTAACTTTTAACAGAGCTGCACCCACTGTAAAGGATATTATCCTTAAATGTAATTTTGAAAGTTTAAACTAAAAATTAAGGAATAAAATACTATTAGAACTTTAAATATTTAAATAGATTTTTAAAATAATTTTGTTCACAGATAAGATTCCTCTTCATAGTTCGATAAATTTATAAGAGATGCAAAAATAATGTCTCAAGGAAATTCGGAAAAAATTTATTTAAAATGCTTCGAAAATAAATATAATTATTTTTTTTACCTAAAAACAATTACATTTTATGTTAAATTATACCAAGATTTTAGATATAATATTAGTCCCACAAAATAATAATTTTGAATCAAGAAACTTTGAATAATCCTTGAGTCTTTAACTCCCCCTACCAAAAGCCCAGTCACATTCCTTTACAGTCTGTTCCAATTCCAGGACGTTCCGCATATCCTCTCGCCAAGGAGCAACACCAACAGCAACATGAACAACTTCAGCCGCAACAGCAACTTGGACACAAGAGCCATCGGATAGTTTTGTGCATTTTCCGAACAATTTTAGAAGCATGCAACGTCGGAAAATGCCGATGCGCTACGAAAATTGCAAGGGACTTCGTGGGAAATGGAAAATGCTGCCAGACTTCGGGCCGGCTCTCTCTCTTTTCCGCTGCCACTCGCTCTCTCTCGCTCGTTTAGCCGAGATTTTCCTGGCCTTATGTTGCTGTTGGGCTGCTGCTGCTGTCGCTGTCGCTGCTCCAACTCTGCTGCCTCGGCGGCTGCTGCTCCTGGTGCTGCTGCTGCGAAGGACTTGCGTGCTTTTTGGGGCTGGCTGTTGGTCCTTGGGCCATGGCTCGTTCAGTCGTCGTTGCGTGTTGTAGGTGGCCTGGTCTGCTCAGCTCAGCTCTGCCAGAAGTTGCTCCTCCTTCAACCGCTGCCGATTCTGCTTCGGCGATTGCTACTGCCATCGCTGCTGCTGCTGCTGCGGCTGCTACTGCATCTGCAACCTGCAACACCCATCCAAACGTCGCATCCACTGACGCCACAGCCACAGAAGAAGTCGTAACGTCGCGTTCAGTCTTCGTCCTACAGCGTAACGTAACGTTGCCATCATACGTAATGTCGCGTAGTGTTTTTTGTCCATTGGCTTCGTTAGCCCGAAAAAAAACTGTTAGACGAAAAAAAAAACAAAAATGCCAGACCAGGTGACTGAACTGATCCAACATCCGCAACATCCTCGTCCTCGACGCCGCCAAACTCAAGTCAAGTGCCGTGGATGTGTGTCAATTAAAAAGTCTCGTCTCAGTGAGTCGCGTATTTAATTTGCGGCACATTCCAGACACACCGACCCACACACACCATCCAGCTATTTAATTAAAAATGCCACGGACACGGAATCACACAGAAATATTGACCGATTCGAAAAACCCAACGATTTCAACTCAAAGTTAAACACAATATTGCGGTAAGTCTGGTTTAGATTATATTTCACTAATCATCAAATGGAAATTGAATTTTATTAGCTGTGAACATGTTGATGCTGTGGTTATTGGTCCGGAACGCAAATTGCAATTTAATTTATGGCGTTAGCACACGGCTACACAATTAAATCAATTATAGGCCTTATTTGTCTACTAACAAGGTCAATATATTTTTGTGGCGGTTTTTTGTGGTTAAAAAATTGCTGTGAGACCGGTATTGTTGAGTTTCTTAAACAAAGATTTCCTGGAAACAATATTCCAAGCTCAGGCAGGCATAAAAGTTCTCATCATACTTATTTAAATACCAAGAAATGAATTTCATCCTAACTAGAAAAACTCGAAAGTTACCTCAAGCGTATGTTTTATATATTCTTTTCGTTGGCCTCGCTGAACACGATACAAATTTCGTTGGGGCTCAAATAAATCAGCTTAGAGTGGGCAATAAAAGCCAAGCCAAGGAACTCCTTGCCAGTTTTCGGGAAGCGAAAAAATTACACTGCATTACGCATACGCCAGGTGCGACAAATGTGTGCAGGGAAGCGTGGCGAACACGACAGGGGGAAATAAATGACGGCTCCAGCACGCGCTCGAATAAATATGTGTTCGTATATGTATAAATAACCGACTTTAATCAGTTGCCAACTGCGAGCCATGACAAGCATTTAATTAGAAAAATCAACGGCATTAAACAGTGCTGTTGAGCGCGCTGAGCCATTGGCTGGGCACATTCCACGGGTCGTAGGGCGTTGAGCCTCGTCTATTTCAGTCAGACTGTCATTACACACAGAAAATTAGACGGGATACGGCTTAGCTGGGCTGACAGCCGGCAAGTCTGGCTCTGACAGAGAGCCAAGAAATCCGAGACGGGCACAACGACAAAGACGCGTGTTGAAATGTAAATAAAACAAAGGCAGTTGAAGGCTGAAAGCCAGGATGGCGAAGGAAGCTGAACGAGAAAGTATCGCGCACACACAAAAAACACAAGAAACATTCCCATACACGAGAATGTATGTAAAATAATAAAAAGCGACATTTACGACATAACATGGCAGCATATTACACGGAAAGTAGGGGGATCTCAAAACTCAGTCGCATGGTCTGGGCTCTGGCACACACTGCGTATACGTACTCGCATTACAATGTTTCGCACTGATTGTTCTCGGGGATTCCCCCTCATTTCGTTTTTCCCGTATATGAGTTGCCATGCAAATGTATACAAAGTAATTATGCGTGTGTGTGCTGGTGTTTATATGTGCCTGTGTGTGTATTTTTCTGCTCTGTGCGAGCTTGTATCTTGTAGTATTACTCAAATAATTGCCAAACCACACACGCAGCTCAGACAGCGTTGGATGCTGCCAGGCAATGCTGCCAGGCAATGCCTTTTTAAAAGCATAAAAACAACAGAGTAAAAATTCTGAATGAGCTTTACACGAATGAGAAATACTCTTAAATAACCTAAAGAAAAAAATATATACATACGGGCAGATAAAAATTAATAAATTATAACTAGACTTTCTATTGTTTTGTATTAAAATAACAATTTAAACATTCTACCCAATGAAAGGTAATTTCTTAAGGTATTATCTTAAAAACAAAATAATTAAAACGATCCAAAACCTCACTGGTTAACCTCAAGATACTTTTTTTTTGAGAGTATCAGACATGCTTGAACAACATTGTATCTTATTAACAAAACAACTTTGTGTGCTGTACCTACACCCACACATATGTCGCCTTGTTGCAAAAATATTCAAAGTATTGTTGGCAGTAATTTCGGGATACTTTTCAGACAAAAAAAAAAAGAACGAGGACAACAACAAGAGCAGACGGCAAACAACATGGAAAAGTTTCGTGAGGGCATACGCCATGAATTTTCATTTAATTAGGGCGTCCCGTCCCCATCCAATTTTACGGCCTCTCATCCTTTTGATGGTTAGGCAAACTTGTGAAAAACAAAAAGCGGAAAGAAAAATGTTATATAGATTGGGCAAAGAAACCAGAAGAGTAGAAACCCTTTTTGCTTTATTGTTTACATGGGCCAGGGCACCCAGATCGGGGGAGGCAAACACTTTCAAATGATTTTATTTTGCGTGCCAACCACACGGAGAAAAAAGAGACTGAAATACTGGCCAATTTGTAGCCGCTTCTGCAGAGAGTTCTTCGTCATAGTCGGCAACCACAGGCGGACAGGACAGACATTGAAACCAATTAATTTTAAATTGAGAGCAGTCCCCTTGGCCTGAAATCGAGTTGAGCTCCCTTTTGTCTGAATAATGAGCGTTCAATTTGCGGAAAGAAAGTTTGGCCAGTGCGAAAGGTGTCGATGGGGAAAGGTCCTCTTTTTATTTGCTCAGCCTTTGTTTGGGCTATCTATTTTTGGGGCTAATTGAAGTCTGAATGCCGGCAGACGAGGTGGCTGAAGAGAACCGCAAAAGGTCGTTACAGGCCGGAGGAAAGTAAAGCGAGAACCCCCGCCTCCCGACCGCAATTTCTTTCAGCTGCCCATAAAAGTAGGCAATACAATTTCCAACTTTCCTTCTGCCAAGAGTTTTCCTTGCCCTTCCAGCTCCTTGCTTCCCCAGTTACTGCCTTTTGAAATTTTCACACATGATTTTTTCATAGACCAATTTGCACACATTATAAGTTTGCAACCGCAAATTGCCACACCCCTAGGGGGGCAAACCAACAAGCAACCGACAACAAACAGAACAGCCCCAGCAGTAGTAGCAGTAGCAGACAAAAAGCAACCCAAGAAAATAAACTTTTCGTTTTTGTGTTCGAGGCGTAGAAAATTCCAAGTGCTTATGAACAAGCTCCAGTTTCCAGCAGCAGACAGCTGCTTGTGTACAAAATAAATTTCTATTATGCCCGAAAACAATTTTGGTAAAAATAGCAAATAGTAGGGATACTCCCTAACTCACCCATTCCACCCAGACTCATCGCCCTTTCATCGTCCTGCTGCCCACACAAGTCCACCATCCAACTAAGCCAACAACCTAACTAGGCAAGCAATCCCTTTATGCCAGCAAATAATTATTTTCTACTTTGGCAACGCTTGCGTAAATTAAAGCTGGGAATTATCAGCAAACACACAAGCAGATTAGGGCGAAGCACTAGTTTCCACTTCCTGCCCACAGTAAATACATCCTTGTACTCGCACTGCCACTCAACCCGAATGTCTTCATATACATGCCCGTACACATATTTAGTTGGATGGCCCCAAACCGCAAGACCATAAAATTAAACTAGTGCATAATTAAACACTCGCAATTAGGCGTAATTTCCTTACTGTGTATCCAAGAGAGTTTGGGGGTTTTTTTTTTTGAGGATGGGCGGCAGGATGTGGGATGGAATTTGTTTAGGAATCCCTGCCCGCCCATTCAGCACATTAGTTTTTAATTAAAAAATTTGTGAACCTTTTGCTGCTCGTCACTCTGACATTGCATTTTATTTCAGCGTTTAATTGCCGGCCCTTGCCATCCTAATTGTTTTCGGGACACAATCTTTGGCAGTTGATTTTTGCGCCTCGTTGAGTCCTCGAGCTTAACTCAATGAGCCAGCAAAATGTCCGGGACGAAACTTTATACACATGTCATCTAGATAAGAGTAAGGACTTGGCCAGAAAGAAAACAATACAGAGATAAGCAGTAAATAAAATACAAAAAGAAAAGCCAAAAGAGAAGCCAGAGAATCCCGAAAAGCATAATCAGCAAAAAGCCAAAGACAACAAGCAAAGCGCTGAAGATTCATTGTAAACAATTCCAAGTTGTAATAATTAATCCAACAGATTTACAAAACACAACTTTTCGCGAAGCGGTTTCATTACTCAAAACTTGGGCCAACACTTAGACACACAAACAGAGACCAAATAAAAGGGAAAATCGTGGAAAATAAGAGAAAATCAAGGGAGGAAAGTGTGTGAGGGTAGGAAAGCTTACTGGGGGATTTTCTCGGCGGACCGCGACTTTGTTGTTCTTATTGCTTAATGCAAAGGCAGCTTATTTTTTATGCAATGCCACGAAGGCAAAAAACAGCAAGAAAACTAAGCGAATTTCCTTGGCCACATCAGAAAACCGACTGTAATTGTACTTGGTATGCAGACAGACAAGCTCAATGGCTGACTGTCTGACTCTCCGACTGACTGACTGACTCACTAACGCGCAGCCATTCGTTTCAATTCCAAGAAAATAAATCTCATTTTTGCTGCTGACGGCAAACTAAATATTTATGCAACGAAGAGTTCCCGTTGCAAGTAAATTAATTAATGGAAATGCGAGGCGGCTGAGCGCATCTAAGCCGATTTGTTTCGTTATGGCCAAAGTGGGCTTGGGGCCCCAGCTTTTTCAGCCTCTTCTGGCATCTCGGGAGATTTGCATAGTGAATTGATTTGGGTGCAGCCTAATTGACAGCTGACAAGTTAATTAAGGTTAATTAGTGCTCTAATTGATACGAATGGGTTGGTCTTAAAATGCCAAAACAACAAATTTGAATTAAAGGGTTTAGTGAGTGTGGGATAGGCTTAAAATAGTTTATCCTTTCCTTTCTAAAATTAACTTAAAGTTGTTCTCTTGCCATAGTCGAATTTCCATTTTTGGCTTATTTCCCGACTCTGACTGATGGCCAAGTGGAGGAATAAATAAACCACCATTAGCGCCATCGATCAAGTGTGTGCTTATCATGATGGTTGCCTTTTTTTCCACCTGAGACAGGTCCTTCGTTTACTTTTTCTTTCTCTTTTGGCAGTAGCCCTCGTATATTTTTTTGGCCATTTGTATTCGTGTTAAAATCAAATATTTTATCATTCGGCCAAACCTCAGAAATGTAAATATTGGCATAAACATTTAAGAGCCAAAGTCAAACCGCACGGAAAGTGGGTCCCTCAAAAGAGGATTTCTGTATATGTGGGTTTCTATTGAACACACCCAAAAAAAAAGGAAAGAAAGCCGAAAGGAAAAAAATATATATATGCCTGCCGCATTGAATT